AAATTAATGTCCCAATTCTCTAAAATTCACTTGAAACACTTTTGACAATTTGTTTGATAATTATCTATTTAAAAATTGATTTCACGTAATCCTCGAGTGAAAGTTTTGCATTGATACTGCGATTATACGCGCTACCATCTTACGACCTCTCAGAACCATGGTCATCTCTCAATAATCGTTCGCCATTCACCTATCTTCTTCTCGGTCACAAAAGTTAATAAAATCTTATCTTCTTGATGCCTCCTGTGCACATTGTTAATTTGTCCTTGCCTTACTTGTCTATCGTCTACTTCCATTAGCTATTTACTCCATAGATTCCATAACATTGTTTTCTTGACAAATACGCATTTTTAATCAATACATTTATCTCTCGGAAATTGCTCAACGTATCGAATCTCCATAAATACGACTTATTATTATTATATAATTATTGTTATTGCACACTTCACCTCCAACCTTAGTCTCTTCTATTTATATTCTTGATAATCATATGATTTCGTCATCGAAATTCATTTGTCTTTATCCTTATATTTATCGTCGTAACGTTTAATATCTAATAACGCTTTTCACCTTCTAGTAATACAATATGTTCAAATTCAACCCATCGCAGAATTTGAGCTAAAAGTAACCTTGAAACTTCTGCGTTCTCGAAATGTTTGAGCTCCTCTTTGTACGTACGCGCAAAACGATATTTCCTAGAATAATGACTAGGAGCCTCGTTAGTGCAGAATTTACCTATACTTCGACAATTTATATTTTATACGGTATACACAAAACTTCCCGAATTTCAAGTTCTGTGACAAACATGAAGATTCAACGTAACTTTGGAAAATGTTGCTTCAAACGGAAGCGTAATACACTCGCTCCTTTATAAAAAACGCGCACTATAGCGGAAACTCAAATGAGTCGATATGAGGTAGGTACTCTTTTGTTACTTCTATTTACTTCGTTTGAGGGCGTACGTGAGTGACGTCCCGCACAGCAGAACACAGGTTGCAATAATGAAGGTCAAAGGTCGAAGGTAGTTTGTGAACGCAATATTTGCTACCGACTCCGAGAATCAACAGCAAGGACATTTTAATTATTCTGCACACTAGTAGGCTTAGTGAACAAATATTTCAGTTCATTGGAAACCTATTATGTATAAAGTTTGGATATAATAAAAAATGTTTATTAGAAGAGCGGCTTTGGAGAATGCAAATATGAACAGAATATGCCGGTGGGTAGATTTTTTTTTAATTTCCAAGAACACAATATTAATATAGTTCAGGCATAGTTTATACCAACCCATAGGTGGAATTCCTGAACAAATTGCAATGTAACATTATTTTGTGCCGCATCACTATTAAAGAATTTCATGAAACATATTTCTATATTTTAGATTTTTTCTCAATCACCAGTAGTATTTTTTGTGAGAATAAAAAAAACAACATGCGCACAATAGTTTCAAAGAGAATGATTTTTCTTTATATTGAAACCAAAACAAAGTAGCATCGAATTCTATCACATTTTTACGTTTACAACCGTCAATCAATTTTAAAAATGTTAATAAACATTTGTTGTTGACATAATATACATTAAGGCAAAACCTCTTTATACTTCGATTAATGGGATGTAGTATGTTGGCAAACACGAATTGTTTAATTACCACCTGACTGTTGAAACAATCATTTTGTCCCGGAAATTAGGAGTAATAAATTACGTTGAGTTACATTGTACATAATCTCTTATAGCATTTTGGGGAGTTAGTGTCGATGTCTACTGACCAAGAGCTATCTTAGAAAATATTTAATGTGAATATTTTATTCCAATAAAACAAAACCTATTTTAATTGGATTTATTAATGGTACTAACTAGCACTACATTACTTTCAATCTCTGTATGTTCATTTATGAACAGTTTTCATAATAAAACATACATTATATTTATTTCCTGTGTACATATTTTCCTACTAGAAATAGCTTGAACTTAAACACGATGCCAACATTTAAATATTAAATTTTGACAACTAGTTGGTTCTGTGCCTAATTCCACGATTTATTTATCATTGTTTTAAAGGTAAATAGCTTTATTATACTGGAAGCCAAATTCTAACGATTGGGCCCCCAACTGCGCCCCTCAACAATTAGGCCCAGTACTGTGTTTGGAAAGCATTCTTATATTGATAGGCGTGCATTAACAAACCAAAAGCCTTATTTACATCCGTGCAATTAAGTTGCACGTAATACCAAGTAGTAAATTTAATTTTGCACGCATTTCGAGATTTTGTGTTTCTGATGAGCTATGCTTTGTAGTAGGGTTAGTATCTAGACAAGATACAACTAGTAAACATGGCTGTGTCAACACCCGTTGGTATTGCAGCATTCACTGTCATCCGCGAGATTCGTAGAGTCGAATTCAGCCACTTTGAGAAGCAGAATTTTAGCGGACGACTGCTCTGATGTTAGTTTTCAGCGTCTTACCCCAATAAATATCTGTTCTCTAACAAAATGATAATAGACAACGAACTATCTTACATTCTCCATCCTGATTCCTCCAACCATACACACACATATAAATACTCCTACGCATTACACTGCCTATCGGGCTTAGTGCTTGCCTTGGTGGTGCAGCGCCTTGCTGGGGAGATACCCGAAGAGGAAAACCCTGCAAGCCAAGTGTAGGTCGGCGCCGGATCTATTGTTCCAGTAGGGCAGGAACATTGCTCCTTTCTGGTTTTAACATGCTCCCAGGTATAATAACACACCCGAAGAAATGGCCGCGCCAGGAAACGCCAAATACTTATTCATTCATTCATTCATTCACTCACTCACTCGAAAACCTACACCTCCAAAAAGTAATTCAAGGTCCATATCTGTAGATTACAGTCTATGAAACGTACCGCACCTTTGGAGACTCGGAAATCGGGGTTTAAGGTCCTAAAACACGCCGATTTCGAGATAAACAGGGTGGTAACGTATTGTAGCTTAGAGTGTGTGTCGGAGAATGCTTTTGCAGCATAGTCAACATAATTCTAGTGGCAATAATCAACATTTTCCTTCTTGAATTTGTTTGATGTATCACTGGGGGACGGGGTATATCGTAATCATTTACGATGCACATTACATGTACATTTACGATGTAAGTCCGCACAAAAATATAAACTTTTCTTAGAAAAATAAACATCGAAAGAAAGAATTCACAAATGACACATTTCGAAGTATAGTTATATACTTCTTTAAAATGATTTTTAGGGGCATGGGGCCAAGGTCCACTTGACCCGCCCACGCAACAGATACACACCACTGTGTATACGTCGCGGCGCCAAATTCGCTCCGCGCGCAAAAAGCCGACAGCAGCTTTCTGGTCGCGCTCCCTCGAGAATTGAGCCAAGTACACGAACAGAACCCGCCGGCTCGTGGCTCCGCGCTTCCGCGGCTTGTCTTACCAACGAGACAGACAGCGCCCATCCGGCCGCACCCCCGCCGCCTGCCGGTTTGGTTGCCACCCTCCTGTGACGAGCCGTCTCACCACTCGACGCGGAGGGGTGGGTGCTATTTCTGGACGGATGGATTTGGGGGGAAGGAGACATGTGAACTGGGTACCTGCTGTGGCTCCCACAATTGACACATGCGTTTTGTAGGAAATACGCACTATGTTTATCTACTCCGGTTCAACAACACAACTAAGACGAACGAAGTAATTGTGATGTATTAAAATATTTATTTAGTTTCTACATCCCACACATTTATATACGTTGTTGAAGGTTTGGTTTGAAAGGGATGACATGCAATCCTAAAACATTAAGTAGGGTTGGGAAATAAATGAAACAAACAACTAATTTCATACTCATTTTAATAGTTAGAAAGTTGACACAACTCTGCAATGCAATTTTCTTTACAAAGCTGCTTCAAGCAATTTTCCAATCAACTTGTTAAAATTATATTGAAAGAATGGAATTGATTTGACAATTAGCGAGACCAAACAGGTATTTCACACCATTGATGCAATTACTTCCTTCTCAGAGAAACAATTTCACAAAATGCTGATAAATTTAATTATTTTTCCTTACAATTAGAATATCAAAATACGATCCACGAATTATAAGAAAGCGATATTTAATTGCGGTATATGTAATTGGTTCACAGAACTGTGATTATCGGCTTCTTTTAAAATTTTTCGTTATTTGAACAAAATTACCAGCAAGTGCTTGCGATTGGAGATGCGTCATTGGTGTACTGTGTCGTAGTAATATTACTAAAAATTATTTTAGACTCCCTTCAAGATGATGCCCACACTCGTGGAGATTACTAAGCTTTATATATTCAAATGCTCTTCATAATATTTTTATATTCAAATATTCATAATAACTTTACACCAATTCACCATATAGAAAAGTGTATTGTCCTCTTAATAATGGTCAGAAATACCGAATAAAATTAACATTTCCCTGTAGTGGTAATATGGCTTCGTGACCTTTGCACTAATATAAAGGAACATTCACATGTCAAACAAAAATATAGGTTCCTTCATAATTTTAATCCTGAAATACTAGTGTCGAATAAAACTCACTGGCTCATGGCGTCCCTGTTATGGTTTGCTGCTTCTTTTAGTGTTTATTTTTGGGCATTAATATGCCCATAATCTTAATTATGTTATAGTATTTTTTCTTACAGCAAGCAAATGTCTTGCAGTCCACGAATAAAATGTCCTCACTACATACCAGTAAGGACTCCTTGTGTAACGAGGCCGCAACAGCTAGTCTCATAATAAAGTTGATAAGCGTAAAAGTTGATCCAATGTTCTATTAGTGTTTTGGAGTATTTTAATAACTTGAAGAGTTGTCTACTGATATTGAAACGACTAATTGCCTAATTTATAACATTCTAGTTGCAGACTTGTTCACTTTTGAACTGAGTGAATTGTACTCATCGCTTGTAACAATACACGATAAATTGCAAACCCTCGTGTTCTAATAAGTGGTTCAAGTGAACCCGTTCCTTTGGCAAAGGCGTGGGTGGTCACTGGAAGAGGTCGGGGTTGGCCTTGGCGTAGGCGCCCGCGGGGTCGTGCTTGGCCTGGATCTGCCGCCAGTCGGCGGGCCGCTCCTTGGCCAGGTGGCGCACCACCTGGCGCATGGCGTCCTTCTGGCCCGGGGTGCAGCGCGCGCAGTTGCTGGGCAGCGCCTCGGGCAGCACGGCCTTCACCTCCTTGGCCATCTGGTCGCACTGCGCGTCGTCCGCGCCCAGGAAGCACCGCAGGTACCCGTCCAGCAGCCGCTTGTTCTGCAGGATGACGCCGATGTCCACGTGGTCGTAGCGGTCCGAGTACGTGTCTTGGGGACGGGCGTCCGCCACCAGCCCCGTGAGGGCGACCAGCGCGACGACCAGCAATGCGGTGGCCTGGCGGTCCATGACGGTTCCCTCGCAAGCCGGTTGGTTCTCAAAGACCGGTGTGTGTGTGTGTTGTCGCGCGGACGAAAGATAGACTGATCCTAGTCGCTACGATCCTCCGCTTTTAAACCTAGATCGCCATTCGTAGAAACTCTTTCGAGGTCGCGAATGTTGCCAAACGGCCGATCTGCAAAGGAAATTTCCTCAAGGGCATGTTGTGCATCGCTAGTGAATCCTTCTCATGTGTGAATTGCATTTCTCTTGCGAGAAATCATGCGCTCGGGGACTCGCTTCGAAGGTTGTGTAACATACAAGCAGCCTCGGCAAGGAACTGCAGGTGAAGGGGACAAGCAGAATATTGATCAATTCTGTGAAGTCCTAATGCCATCTGAAGTACATTACGAGCATCTTCCTGGACATCTGAAGTACATTACGAGCACCTTCCAGGACGTTTAGCTTATGCGTTTTAGGGTATGTATGAGTTCGGGTTAGGACTCAGGTGGCCCTGAAGGCTGGCAGGTTGCATAGTTTTCAATATCAATTGCAGCAACTTACTCGGAACTTTTTGAGACATTTCCCATTACCACTATTTTATTTCTTTCAGTGTAAAGCGAAAGGCAAAGCAACTTAAATACAAAAAAAACCAGTTTCCCAGTACCGTTTAATATACTTGGTACTATCAACCCTACCTTTTTAGGCATTTTGCACAAAACCAAAAATTTCAAGGGTTTCAGGTCGGAAGATTTTTAATAAATCGGGAAGATCTAAATAATCGGGAAGATTCAATTCCATCAAGGATCCATTCAAACAGAATGGCGGATCAATTTGCACTCTTACATTACAAAGAATAACAATCTTTTTAGCTTTCCGGACTGACGATATTCAATCTTTTCTACTCTTGAAATACATTTTAGTATTCGCGATAAAACATGCCAGTTACAAGTTACTATAATACGTATTATAATTTATAACTTTTAAAATATTTGCAGGTCCGTGCACTCTGCACTTCACTTCACAGCACGGAAATATAAGAAAGAGCGCGCGGTTGCAATGCGAAAAGAACATACGAGATGAAATAGGTTCGTAAAAGTCGCCATCGTCTCCGCTGAATTTCATCACAGGATAACGGCAATGATAACGCCTTTGTTTTATTTCTATGATCCCGGACATCACCAGATAAATACCAATCTACAGGAAAACGTTTTCAACAGAGACAGCGTGCGTGGTTTCATGAGAGAGAAGATAATAGAAGACACTGGTCGAGACCATTAACCGCACGACTTTGTCGACTGGCAAGCTGTCCATTTAACGGATTTGAGATGGTTAAAAAATGACCTACACTTAGATTCGTAATTTTTAGAAATTTTCATAATATCCATAACATAACACATCAAAAGTCACGAGAACCCACTGTCCTACTGTTCATTGAAGAAAAAATCTACTATTGTGACGGAGACGTTGAAAATAGCCTTCGCGTTAATCGTTCTAGTATTCCTTGCCGCATCAGTAGTATTTTTGTGGCGACCGCTGCTTTTCCATTCGCGGCAACCGGGAGACCTTGTGACCGAAGTTGTAAATCAGTCAATCTATGCATATCTTTCCACTACGTTCTCAGGTGCACATCGTTTACACACAATTTATCCTCCAGCACACAAGATTTCCCGGAAAATTTACCTTGATTTGCGACTACCTTTCTCTCGTCTGGCGTGGTGCCCTCTCTTTGGGATTTTTCCCTTCATTACGCTCCGCATCATGTTGCGAGTTCTCCAGCGTTGTTTTACACTTTTTGTACTCTTTGGGCGAGATTTTTTTATGACGTTTTCTTGTTTCCTCAGAGCACTGTTGTTAAAGGGCGTTTCAGGGTTCTTGTGATTCTAATGCTTTTTTTTCAAGAAAAACTTAACATTGCGAGTTACGTCTCAATTTCACGGTTGCAATTCTAGAGAACTTGCATTTCGTACATTGTGGAAAGACATGACATTTCTTAGGTAAAAAATATGAATACATTTTCATTTTAAATTGCTCAATATTTTGTCTTTGAATTTTTGTTCGATATTTGAATTCAGCTTCGATATTTCTTTACGCTGTTTTCAAATGATTCTTTATTAACACAATCCGACACAGGCATTAAATGAGGTAAAAAGAAGTATAAAATTTTTCTAAGCTTACTTGTAGCTCATCTACATGTTAAAAGCTATTCCTAAGTTTCTAACTTTTACACTGGTTTTATTTAATAATTATTAATTGACCCAAACTCAAGACATACCCGAATTCAGATGTAAATTACGTCAGAACAATTCAGAGTGATTTACATTATTTACATTACGATTGTGTTGTCCATTGTGTAATTACATAAAACACAATTTTTGTGTATTGACTACATTTATTTTTTATTGAATTACTGCTAACAATTCGTCGGAATGCGAATGCGACCAAAACGTTGGCAATGTTTCACTAAACAAAAAATTAATCGATACGCAAGAGCTTTATTTCAATTATATTACGCAATACATGGAACTATTCTTTTCCATCACATGATCAATACACAAACATTGCAGCTATGGACAATGTAGCTTGAACATTCCACTCCAGCGCGTCTCCTCCGCGTCCCCGTCCGTCCCCCGCTCCCTCATGCCAAACCCAAACGCACCCCGCACATCCGCCACGTGCTGCAGCCTTCAAGGGCGCCCGCAGCTCCTCCTCCTCCTCCTCCTGCCGCAATGGACAGCCCTCGAAGGGCCGAGGACCATCACAGCATCTGAAGTCGAGGCCTATTCACGCCTAACGAGTTCGTCCGGTGGCACAATCGCACAGCACATACAATGCCGCCATAATTGCTTCCTCGTTCAGCAAATCACCTCTCGGAGGACGAGACCAGGCGACCCGCCGCCGCCGCCGCCGCCGCCGCCCCCACCGCCTGATGACCTGAACGCGCCGCCGCGCCGCGCCGCCAGGGTCGCTCGTTGAGCGCGCGTCCCCCTCCGTCGCGACGCGACGCAACGCGACGAGGTTCCTCGAAGCAGGGGCGGCTCGTCTGATGTGTGTCACGCCGATGGCCGGCGGCCGTTTGGACTTCGGCGGGGGTGTCGAGTTTCTTTCGAAGGAAGGGGGCGTGGCGCGCCCCTTCGGACCGCAGGTCTTGTCACCGCCCTTTATTGAGACGTTGTGTTTTTCGGGAAAAACAAATTGCTAACCGCGACACGGCGGCGGCGACGGCGCCGGAGGGTTGGGAATTGGAAGCACATGAGGAACAAGGCAGCTCGAGCGCTTCGCTTTACGTTCGTTACAGTGTTGCCACATGTGACGATGTTTAAATTTTCCGCATGAAAGTGTGAAGGATTTCGACAATATCGATTTATAGATGAAGATGAAGTTGATGGTTATGATGATAATGATAAGCAAATGTGTCACTCCCCACACACAATTCACAGTACGAACATTTTCAGATAGTTTCATGTCGACAATAATTTCGATCCCTTTCTACACTACTGAACTGTCTGCAACAATTCCATATGGTAATATTTGCGGAGATAGGGATGAGCTTCTCTCATGCTAATTCCCTTTGTAGAGAGTTTCCATTTATTAATTTACTCGCTTGAATTAGCTGATGATGAATGATTACCTATTTTCTAACATGATAAATATTCGGAAGAATAGCATCATTAGGAAAGATAAAGACGGAAGATGTGGAGGGGAAAACTGTTTGAAGAACGCTTGGTCCATCTTGCATTTCATAATTAATTTTACTTCCAAAATCTATCTACAAAAAGTATTATCTAAAGTGTTTCCCCACGTACCAAATAGAAAAATTTAACAAAAACAATTACTCAACCGACGTACGTTTCTAAGCATACAAGGCAGAAAACAGAAAACTAGAATAAAATGTTTCAAAAAAGATAAGAAACGTAAACATAAGCTCCACTCTTTTACATCCAGGAAATTAGTTCTAACCAACATCATTTAATTACAGAGCATACTTTTAGTTCTCTAAAACACGACCTAAAACCTAAAAATTAAAAATACTTTTAATGTCTCATATCGTTAAATCTGTTGTTGTTCCTTGTCAACACAGCAGGAAAAACAAACAGGAGCAAGCAGAGAAGCGAGAAAGAGTCTTCCGGGAAGCAGCAAAGAATGCAACTGGCGACGCTATCTTTCAAACGAGCGTCGAGCCGAAACCACATGCGACCGCTACATCTCCCCGGGGGCATCTCTCCATCGGCAAGTGCGGGCGCCTCCACGCGCCAGGAGTCATATGTGGAGTTCCGGGCGCTGCATCGCCATGACGGATGAGCGGGGGGGGGAGGGGAACATCGCCCCCGTGGGCCAATTACCGCCACGGGAACCTCTATTTCCAGGAGCGTAAATCAAATGATTTGTACCCTTTTCTACCAGTATGAGAGCCACGCTGTTCACTACTTATGACAAACGCCGGGCGCGCGCGCGCATCAACGTGAAATAACGACGCGTCAATTAGAAAAGTCGGCCGCTATCGAGGAAACTTCCGCTACACTTTCGTAATCGAAGCCGTAACGAGGCGTGCGTTCCCGCAGAGGCAACAAGGGCGCCACGAGACGGCGCCAGGCGAACGCACGCGGTCGGAAGAGAGATAAAAACATGGCGGCGCGCCAATGAGGAGCCACGGCCCATTAAAGAGAAGCCGCCAGGCAATGATTTGATACTCGCGCTGTACTCTTGCTGGCCGGCCTAATCAAGGGGCCGCGACTCTGCGGTAAGCAAAGTCCCGACCCCGAAAATACATGGCTAATTTTTTTTCAACGAAGAATTATTTTTTTCAACTTGTAAAAAAATGTCACATTACTGAATAGCAATAATTGTGAACATTCAGACGCTTAACAGTCATTCTTCATACACTACACGTTTAACATTCATTCGTCATACACATTTTGAGATATGTGAAGACATGTGTTTAGAAAAATAGCTCATTTTCACGAGTAAAATTTCATAAATATATCTCACACGACGGCCAGTACACAGGTACTTGGTGATGGCTAAGAAAT